AACTGTGGTCACGGATTGAATGGGAGGTTGCTGACTTGATTGCCTTGAGTAATGCCCGGATGCTCCAAACCAGGCCACCCACCATTGACTCGCCAACCAAGTTGTGGGCCGTTCGTGGCCAGGTTCTTCCTTCTCTGGATAGGCTGGCAATTCTGCGAAATCAGATGGGTGCCATGGCTGATGATGAAATGAGGTTCCATATGAACTCTCTTGCTGAAGAATGTCTACGAGGTGGTGACTGCCTACCAAAGCAGGTTGTTGTCATTGATCCACTTGTCTCTGCAGCTTGGGTTGATCCTGCGGCCTTTGACTATGCTGAGTGGGCGGCCACCCATCCTGAAATCCTGGCTGATGGACTTCAAGCCATTGGGGTGTTCTGCATTGAGGCACATTGGATTCCTTTCCTAATTGCACCTTGGGGCAATACAGTCCGCATTGCTTCTTTTGATGCTGCTCAAGAGCTTCCTGCAATGTTGTCCGCTTGTTTGATGCGCATGACCCATGGCCTTGGGTTTACTGAGACTTTCTTTGATCATGTGGTCCGACCGTTCGCCATCAAATCAGCATGTGGTGCCGTGGCCATCAATTTCCTCCGAGCTCAGCTTGTTGGATTTCCTCGGTTGTGTTCCAATGTCTCTGCATGGGAGGAACATCACTGTTTACGACGCCGATTTATGCAGCATATTGGAAATTCCACTGAGGTACCTCGCCCGTGGTTCTGGGGTAATGGACCCCCTTCTGGTGGGAATTTGGGTTCTGAGTCCGGCTTGCCTGGCCCTGCCTCTAGCAGCCCTTCGTGTGCCACTGATGTAGCTCTTGGCCCTGCAGTGAGTGTTGGTGCTCCGGGTAGCTCTGCTCAGGTTGCTCAGGAAGTTGTTGATGCACTTGCGTGTGTTCCATCTGATGGATTAGGTGCGTTGAAAGGTCCCACTTTCATGACATCGCAACAATATGCTGCAGTTCGTAGCCAAATGCTTGCATCCGATGATCGAAGGAACTTACTTGCAGGTCAGTACGGCATCTGGGCAGATGATGAGATCAGATTCCATCTTCAGGCTCTTGCCGATCAGTGTAATGTTGTCAGCAATGATCAGCTGGTCCGGCATGTCCGGGTTGTTGATCCTTTGATCACTCTCTCATGGACACTACAAGGGTCGATGTCAGCAACTGATTCTGCACGTCTCTTTCGGTTTGCCTGCACTGAACAGGTTATTCTTGTTGGGACACTCAAGGTCAGGGAACATTGGGTGCCATTTCTTCTCTTCCCAGCTGGTTCACGTGTTCGTATTGTCACTGGGGACTACCAGGCAGAGATTCCTGCTCAGTGGATCAATTGTCTGATTGAGTTTGCGTTTGCTCTGGGCTTCCAATCCTTGCGTTTTGACCATACCCGCCGTGACATTCGATGCCGTTCTGCATGTGGTGCTGTTGCCATCAACTTTGTTGGCTGTCAGCTTGGTCTCTCTACCGAAGTCACCAAGTATGCAGCTGTCTGGGCTCTTCACACTGAATTTCGCCGAGTTTTCACTGATGCACTGCATGAGTCTGAGTTTGTGAGCCGACCCTGGATTTGGGCATCAGGACAGGAGAGTGATGATGCTTCTGAATGCTCCTGGCCATCGGAGGATCAGGTCCCAGTCAATCTTCCGGTTGCCGAATCTACACCGGTTGCCTCCCAGACTGATGGTGGTGTGCCATTTGCACACCAGTGTATCTCCACTGATGAGCGGATTGATTTATTTGCGGTCCATGGGCGCTCCATGGGTGATGATGAAGTGCGCTTCCACCTTGCCACTCTGATCCAGAAACGTGCTTCACGTAGTGGAGGCTCTGATACACACCGCCCAGTCGTTGTCCCCTTTGAGTGCCTTAACTTCCTGAACTGGGATGATGTTGGGCATATCCTCACTGAGAAATGGTGTGAAAGTGCAAAGCAGGTCAAGTCTCATGGCCATCAAATTGCGGCAGTCGTGCTTGAAGGGTCCCATTGGCTTCCTCTGTGGGCGGTCCCAGCTGGGATGGTTCTTGTGGTTCATACCTTTGATGACATTGTGGACTATGACATTTTTGATGGCAAGCTTCGCTGGATTGGACTTCACTTAGGTTTTGAGGAGGTTGTGATTCATCGTGTGCCTCACGGTCTTCCATCCCATAACTTTTGTGGGGCCCATGCTCTTGCATTCCTGGCACATATCTTGATTGATGCTGAACTGCCTGATTCCGTTCGCACTTTGGACTTCATGGCTACAAACATGCGTGCCGCTTTTGTTCAAGCTATGTTTGAGCGACGAATGTGCATTTGCCCTTTGGTCTGGGGTGATGGTGGAACAGGTGCTCTTGTAAAGTCAATTGCTGAAGAGTTGGGTTTGCATGGTGTCCCGGGTGCACTGACGGAGCAGAGAGCCTCTCAGGCGATCAAAGCCATTGGTAGTGAACAGTTGATTCAAGCGATGCAGCAGAAGCAACCTTGGCGGCAGATGAAAGCCTTAGCTACCAATGTTGGTTTCAAGTGGGTTCTTCCCTCCGAGCTTGAAGCAGCAGTGGCCGGCAACAAAGGCAAGCCTGTTGGTAAGAAAACCACTAAGGAGCGGAATGTCCCAGGAGTTCCTCCTCCTGTTGAAGTTGATCCCCACAAACTTTGTGTGTTGGAGGGCACGTTCCGATCTGGGACTACGGTCCTTCCACAATTGTGCGCGCAACAAATTGGCCCGGTCAGTAGTGGGGTTGTCCTGATGACCGCACAGGAAGCTGATCCTTACCTCAAGGCTGGCCGTCTTGTTTCACAGGAGCCTCTTGCCTTGGTTGTATTCCATCGTGCTGATCAACCCTTGCAGTCTATGCTGTCTCAACTTAGGGTCACTGTCCCTTGCAGATGTACCGTTGACAATGAACCTGTTTTGGCGGAGGCATCCCTTGTCCAGATTGGCCAAGGCTGTGTTGAAAAGTTTGCAGGGTCTAACCTTGTCTCACTTGAGTCCCCGGATGTCTGCTCGCTCCGGATCAATGTGTTTCGTGATGAAGTGGAGGACTGGGAAACCTTTGCCCGGGCGCCCGTCAAGCAGTTGGTTCAGACCTTTCCAGAGCTGAAACGATGTGGTGTTGCAGGTTGTACGTGTCCGTCTTGGCACAATGAAGAAAATCTTCCTCTGAAGGAACCCATCCTGGACTTGTGGAAGCGCCAGTTCATGAAAATTGGTTTTAAGCCCTGTGAGTTTGCCAAAGCTGACTTGTTCTGTGTCTCTTTGCGGGTCCCATACTGTCTCCTGACGAGAGTGCTCAACCGTAGTGGCACTGCAGGTGCGTATGTTGAACCCCGGTCTGCAGATGGACTGCGAGTGTTGAATGAGTTCATGGTCATCTGGGCGCCCAAGCAGACTTTGCGTGAGTTGCTCCACCTCAAGCAAACCAATCCAGCTGTCTTGGGCCTGGCACGAATGGGTGAGCGTCGTGGACTCAGGGTGCCTGCTGACCAGGCCCAGGCAGTTCATCAAGTGGTTCGACCAGACACATTGTTCCTCCCGCAAGGGGAGAGGTTGCAGTATATCGCTGGCCCTTTTCCCTTTGGCCTGGATCGACAAGCAATCTGCAAAGTGATGAAGCAGGTGGGTTGGAACTGTCGCCCTCTTCAACCTGGGGCGCCTCAACCAGGACGTGGTGCGATGTGGATTGTGCAAGCCATTGAGGAGCCACCCAATGCTATTCTGCACACCAACTATGGGGAGGTTCTGATTTCCCGCCATAAGTCCGGTGATGTTTCTGCGAAGTCTGAGGTCAAGCTGCCAGTTGCTTCACCAGCAACACTTGCCCTGTGTGGAGGTCCTGCTGCCAAGGATGATGATCCATGGACTCATGTCGATCCCTGGACCAAGTTCAAGCCATCAACTATTCCAGTTTCCTCTGCACCTGCTCAGACAGATAGCATGCAGCAAATGGAGTCTCGTATTCAGGCTGCGGTACTGTCCAAGCTTCCTCAGGGAACCCCCATGGAGCAAGATGACGTCCCTGACCGTCTCAGTACACTTGAAGGTCAGGTACACCAGCTGATGCAGAAGCAGACTCAGATTGATGGACAATTTCAAGAGTTCACACATCACCAGTCGCAACAGGTCTCCAATCTTCAGGCCCAGATGCAAGCTCAGTCTCAACAACTTCACGGCCAAATCGAGACGCAGAACCAGAGCATCCAGGCCATGTTTGAGAACCAGCTTTCTCACATACATGGATTGTTGCAAAAGCGTCCACGTGATGACGGTGAATGATGGGGTGGGCATGAGTTGCCTAGCTCCCACAATGGTATGATAATGAAGGGGTCTTGTTGTGCCTTGTGGGCGCTTGCCGCTCTGATGCCCTTGCTTTTCCAGCTTTTGGGGTGTGTGTCAATTGCCCTTCCTGTCAAGGCTTGCATTCGTGCCAGGTCCTGGCTGGTTGTGTTGTTGCTCTTTTTCAATGTGTGCCGGATTGGTGAGGCCTCTCATCCGGGCCCGGCCACGGACAGTTCCAATTTTGTGTTAGGGGTGATGAACCCATCTGGGTTGCGTTGCAAAGCACCTTACGTTGCTGCTCACCTTGCCTATGGGGATCTTTGGGCTGTAAGCGAAACTCACCTGAGTTCCAAGGATGTTGCTGGATTCAATGCTGGTCTGAAATTTGCGGTCGCCATTTTGTCCATTCTTGGGTGGTCATCCTGTCATGCCATCCGCCACTGGGGCAGGATGTTGGAAAGGAGTTGGGGTTCTCTCCAAAGTGCCTGTTCGCCATGTGCCTACTTCATGGCCAGTGGAGATTCAGCGTTCCTCTAGGGCCATGGTTTTCACTTCCTTGATCGACAATGTTTGGCTCACTGGTGGGGTGGTTTATGGCGAACCTGACAGCCATTACTACCCATCTAGGTTGCAGCACAATGAAGCGCTCCTGAGAGCGGTTGCTGACTCAGTTGGATTTTTGTCTTCTGGTCCTCGTTTCGTGGCGGGCGATTGGAATGTGGCAAGTGGTGAACTTCCTGTTTTCAGTGTTCTGGAGGGTTTGGGTTTTAAAGACCTGCAAGACATTGCTGCAGAGCGCTGGGGCATTCCTCCTCAGCCTACTTGTAAGGCAAAAACACGCAAGAATTTCTGCTACATATCGCCTGAATTGCAACACCTGCTCATTCAAGTTGATGTGATCAATGATGTCTGGCCAGACCACGCCATGCTTGTGGGTCGCTTTCACCGGCTGGGTGAGGCTTCCAAGATTGACGTTTGGCGCACTCCTGGTCCCTTCCCTTGGCCCAAGCATTGGGAGCTGCCTCTAGATTGTTGGCACTCCGATCCCAGTTCAGTTGATGATAGATACCGTACTCTTTGGCAGACCATTGAGAACAATGCCTCCCAGGCCTTGCCCTTTCGTGTTTCCAAGCAGATGGTTGGTCGTGCACACACAGTGCAAACTACCCAGGCACGTCAGGGTCGCGTGTGTCATGTGAGGGTTGGGCGAACTGGTGACTTTCAGCCTCAGTTTCATGGGTGTTCTGTTCGTCATGCTCAGTGGATCCGGCAAGTGCGGAGACTGCAGGCCTTTGTTCGAAGCAGTGGAAGTAGTGTGCAATCAGTAGGGTACAGGCAACATGTGTGGGCTGCCATCCTGCACGCACCTGGTTTTGACGGGGGTTTCTCTCTGTGGTGGTGTAACTGTGCTCACAAAGTTCATGGCTCGCCTGAGTTATTGCCCTGGTTTCCTCCAGCTGAATCCATTGCTGTGCCTATTTTTGAGACTGTTGCTATCCATGTTCGGCTGTTGGAGAAACAATTGATGTCCACCTCGCGTCAGTATGCACGGCTTCGTCGGGCACGTAACCCCAATTTAATCTTTCGTGACATTAAGGGTCCGTCCAGTCATGGGGTTGACTTCTTGATCCGGCCTTTGCAGTCCAATGTTACTGAAGTGCGTGCTGATGACTGTTCTGTGCTTGTTGACCCTCCTCAACCGTGGGTCAGTGACCGTCCTGTGCTTGCTCATGGGCTTCCGCTCAATATCATTCATGTGGAGGATGACTGTCTCTGGCTCCAGTCCATTGAAGGGGTTCAGGTTGGGCAGTGTGTTTCCCAGTTGCAGTGCACAGGGACAAAAGCTGATCTTGAAAAGGCATTTGCTGAAGCATGGAAAGCACGTTGGGATCGCCATGCCCATGTGCCGGAAGATCGATGGGTCACTATTCTTTCTTTTGCCAGGGCCTTCCTGCCTCGACTTCGGTTAGATTGGCCTCAGCTCACACCAGATGTGTTGGGACAACTCATTGCCTCTAAAAAGTCCTCCTCTGCTTGTGGGCTTGATGGTGTCTCCATCCAAGACCTAAAGAGCATGCCACCTGCTGCCCTTTCAAATTTTTGTGACATGTACAGTACTGCTGAACAGACTGGTCAGTGGCCATCCCAGCTCCTGATGGGTAAGGTTGTATGCCTGGCCAAAGTTGATCAACCGAGTTCGGTCTTGGACTATCGTCCCATTACGATACTGGGTACCAAGAAGGGCCCACCGTTGCCTAATTAAGGCAGCAATGAAAAATTAAGCTATCAATGACGAAAATGATGCAGTTTTGAGCATGGCCCAAATGTGCTGGTGCCATTTGAATTGCAGGATTCCACCTACAAACATGCAGTGAATCCATATCACAAGCATCTTGTGAGCAGCATAAACTTGGACATCAAGTTTAAGCGGTGGTAATTTTCCACACAGTGTGCACTGGTGTGATGGTAGCACCATCCAACTTGAGCCTTATATTGTGTGGCAGGCGCAATACTTTGGACTTAAATCTTGAGACTCTCACCTGGATCATATATATAATATATATCTCTATCTATATCTCTATATATATATATACACTAGATTTTTATAGATTATGATTAGGATAGTGTATTTATAAAATGCACTGGTGCCGGTTCTGGTTTTCGAAGCATGGTGGCTGACACAAACCCACCAGCAAATCTCCTGGTCAAATGGATAGAATTGTGGTGTCCTAAAAAAGTTGGTTGTGTTTATTGTAAAAAACAATCTGCCAGTTTGAAGGCGCAACTGCCTCCAGCCAATTTTTCTCTCGCGCATCCGTCTCTTGCAGTACCCCAGCGAAGCGCATGCAAGTTTGCACTATGTAGCGAAACAAAGTAAGACGGGACATGTAAGCTGGATGGCTTTTTTCAGCTATCCGTTTGGTTCGGGAGATCATGTCCTCATCTGCATATACCATGAGGTAACGCGGGTTTTTTGGCAAAAAGTGCCAAACAAGGTGCCCCAGCATATGGGCCTTTGGCCGCATATGATATTTTGCTTCCCCCTGGGCGATGGCCCGGTCCGCAAGTATGTTCAAAGCGGATCTGAAAACGCAGTAGGCCCTTTTGAACTCACAGGTCACGTAAGGCGTGAATTGTTTCGCACCTTGAAGCATCAGAACTTCCATTGTTGCCAGTCCACCAATCAAGCCGGACCAGTACCTCAATCGATGGTGGGCCCTAAAGGAAAGAAAATTGACAAAAACAAAATTCAAAAGATTCAAAAGTGGCATGCGGCATACATATATATATATATTGTTAAGATCTTGGATCAACAGGCCTTGAGCCTGAAGCTTTTATCCAACAGTACAAAAGGCACGCACAGCATCAGCTGCAACATTGAGTCAACATTGCTGCCTTGGAACTTTTCATATATAAAAAATATTTGTATGTATATATATATATATTTACACACACCAAGACTGTAAAAAAAACGCGGATTCAGAAAAACATATCATGGGATGACCCTTTAAACGGATAAACCCATTTTCGCCAATCCTTTTTTGGATTGCTTTTGGTTTGAGAAACTTTGGAAAATTGGAAAACACATATGGTTTTGCACAGTCAAACATGCGCCAAACTACGTGTGCACATCGTCATCCAAATCGATTTCCATCAGGAGTCTTGACAGCCATAGAATGAGATAGCGACACGCCGTCGCCGACAAAATTTTTTGACTCACAGCAGTATACTGAGCACCACCAGCTGGCCGAAGTACAGCTGCAGTAAAAAATTTACGGGCAGCACGGTCACTCACGCCTAGGAGTTGAAAAAGTCGTTGAAAAACATGTGCATTTTCTTTTGAAGGGAAACCCTTTGAAACCCAGTAAATCCACAAACCTTAGAAAACTAAACCAAACACTTTGAAAACTAAACGAAATACATATCACAGGTACTGGTCGCTTCACACCATTCCTTGTAGTTTGCGTGTAGTTTGCTGAGTTTCTCATCTCTGGTGTTCCCCTCAATCAGGGCTGGGTGGTCGCAAAGATCCAAAATCACGCTTGACACCGCATCAACGCCAAGGGCCAAGTGCACCACATGCATATAGTCAGGATATATGCCTCAATAGTTTGGTGCTTGTCAAAAAAGTCGCATTCACGCCAGTACGAGTTATATACAGCTATGTATGAATGAGTGTTTTAAGATGTTCGCCCATGTATTTTCGTTTTGTGTGGCAATTTTTCAAACTGTGAATATGCACAACCTCTGTTTTTCCAATTTGCCAGCCAAGCCTCGCGCTGGCTGAAAACCAGCAATTTTGCAGATTGGTGTTTCTCCATGAAGAGCGATAAACTCATCCCGCGATATGATCCTTGCCGGGCACAAGGTAGCAGACATAAATCATCTATTTGGATGACATGCAACCTAGAAATTCAAAAAGAAATGACATATAGATTATACTGGTTTTTCCTCAGGGTCGTGCAGTCGCTTTCACGTGGACCAAAGACAGTGTATAGGGACTCTGCATTGTTCAATGGGCCAATGGTTGATCTTGTTGACACCCACTGCATGCTGTCACAGTAGTGACAACACAACTGCGTATTTGGTCCTCTTCGGAGGTTGAACATAAGCCGAAGAAAATCCTGGTCGGATTGTATGCCTTTCAAGACTCCTTTCCAACCGCCATTCCCCTCTGGAATTTCTCCGATCAAGGTTCCCGCCAACTCAAAGCGGTGCGGGTTGTAGGTTCTACTGAATGGGACATTCCACGGATCATGTGTTGGATAGAGTCCAGTACCTTAGGGATCGAGCTGATTGGACTTTCTTTGGACATTGTGCCCTCAACAAAAACAAACATGTTTTTCAGACTATTAAACTATTACAGCTGAAACACTCAAACAATTGAAGGACCAAGACAACACTTCCAGCACGCGAGAGCGTGCCTCACCACTTTTCGAATAGTTCAAATTCACAATGCTGGTCCTCACTTGGTAGAGCAATGGCCGGCTGACTGGATGACTGGTGCACTGGGAAATTTCTGCATGGCTGGCTCATGGTGCAACCTGGACGCAATATCCGGTTGTCTAGTGTGCTGCTGCTGGGACACTCTGGGAACTGGATGGTCAGCATTTCATACTTTTGTTTCCCTTAGACAACCATTGGGTTTGGTGATAATGGCACTCAAAATTTCAAATGGGTAACACGGTCTACATCGTTTATTGCCAAGGAGCTTTGAGCATCTGCTCCATCCCCGTATAACCTGATCGGTACCACATATCGCAGGTCTGTAGCAGGATCCTCAATTTCCAAGAGCAGGACAAGAGCATCAACAAATAGTAAGGGTTTGGGTTCATTTTTCACATGAAATATTTTGGGTAGCTACAGCATTGCCAAGTGACAGAAAGAACAGGGTGGCTATGGAACCACGCAGCATCCAGCTCCTTCTCATTTTCCCAAAACCGTTTGAGGTCCTAAGTTTCTTAATCGCATTTGTTGACATTAATGCAACTTGAGCCAAAACATCTTAACTTCAATTTCCAAATTTTGTTGGGTCGAGAAGCGTGGCCAGTCATCCTCATCGTTTCCCCGTTCTTCAAGAAGCAACCCATGATTTCGTGGGGAAGCAACACATGCTGGAGGGTCCACTTCTGTTCACCGTGGCTGTCCTCCCAGTCCTAAGCAAACGGATGTGCATTCAATGGGAAATTATAGAGTATCTATTCTATCAGTTCAGCTAAGCATCCGATTCGACTCGGAATTCAAATGGGAGTGGCATCTTTTGGCCTAAAAATCAAGAAAGGGAGAAAACAGATCCATGTATATGGAATCATCAACTTTTTTTCGGACTTTGACACTTGCATTGGCTAGCTTTCAACCGCTGAGTAACGCCAGTCTTGATTCAAAGACCATTTCTCAAGCACCCTTGCTGAGCCCCAGGAATTCTCCTTTGATCGCAGCATGTGCGCCAATTCCTGGACGCTGGGCCTGCAGTGCAACAGGGGGCACTTACTTCCAAAGGGTCGGGAATTCAATAAGTGAGGGACGGAACCAAATCTTGAGGTAAGTCATCAAGCTTGCCTGGGTTAACCATTGCTGGAAGCTGAAACCATGTAAACCTCCACAACTAACTCCTGTATCTAGATGCAAAAAAAAGTGTAAGTTCTGGACTCACTACCTTTTTGATCGCTTTGCAAGAGGCCTGAGACATGAAGGAACTGATCACACAATGTTTGCCCTTACGATGTCAAAGGTTCCATGTACACACATGCTGCGCATGCATGCAAGTTGATCCAAAGTGCTGGCCTCGCCAGAACTGAGTAGCGACAAAAGTTCAGAGACAATATCCGACACTGTGGATTGCAAGGATTCAATCCACGCAGCGCGAGTCTTGCCCATCTAGGCGAAAATATGTCAGAAACGTATGTCAGAAACCTGTGTGCACCTGGGTTTCAAACCATTTGTCAGAAACATATGTCACTCCGTGGAAGTGAAGACTGGTGCATGTGCATGTGCTTCACAAAGACGGCCAGCTTGTATCGCCAAAAACAAATAAACATCACAAGTTGGTTTAGGCTCTGTTGTTTATTTGTTGCTCTCTTAGCCAAAAAACTGGCAGTGGGGTTCAATCAGAGCATGTCTGAATCTGAAATTTCATCAAAGTGATCGTAGTGAACCCAAGAAAATAGAGTTAAAGAGAGTTGATCGAAAATCGAGACTTCAACATCTTTGTGATTTTCAGGGACCTTGATTTTTCTTGGTTTCGCGAAGTCAACTGTCGAGCCCTCGATTGACTAAGGAACTTGCAGCGACCATGGTAGCAGTGGACTACAAGTTGAGGACAGTTTTATCCGGCTGCAGCTGGTGATCTCTTGCTACGGGTTCTGCATTTGCATCCCATGAAAATCATCTGACATCTCAGATACCCCGAACGAAATGCTAGCCCTGCAAACACCTGCTGGCTGACATAGCAGAGACAACTTAGCTGTCGTGCCATTCCTCTTCCTGCGCATCTAAGCCCAGATCCTCATCATCCTCCTCCTCCTCATCCTCCTGCTCCTCCTTCATTTCAAGTGCCCCAAAAACACTAGGAGGTGCAGTGGGCTCAGGCTTTCCTTTTGCTTTTGCCTTAGCTTTCCCCCTTGCCTTTGCCGATGCCTTTGGTTTGGTCTTTGCTTCTTCACTTCGCTTCTCTGCAGCCAGGCCTCACATCAGAATGAATTATTGGACCAAAACATAGCTAGAAATCAGCACACTGGGGAATGAACGCCGATCATGGGCGTGGATGATAACTTCCGCGTCCTTCACCTTCTGCTCCAACTCCTGCCATGTGCATGTCCCTGTGCCGAAGGATGAAACTGGCGATATCTGCACTGGTGGATCCGATATCTACTATGGTGAATCATGGCTGACTGATGCTTGGTGTAAGTCCTTGAGAGTGGTCTCTTGGCAGTCAAGGTGGTCAATCAGGTCGTTGATAGATGTCCCTTTGAACACGTCATCATTCAGCCTTGGTGTGGATCGAAGAATTGCGTGGATTTGTGATGTCAAAAGCATGGATAGGTTGATCTAGGGCCTAGGGGTTATAGTTATACCTGTGAATAGATGTATGTATATATATTATATATAAATATATATAGATAGATAGGTAGATAGACAGACAGACAGACAGATAGATAGATAGATGAAAATGTTCATATCTACATGGACTCACTGTGGGAGCAAAGATCTCTGGTTGCATAAACAGTGGGATGTAAAATACACAAACATAGATATATAAAAATAAATACATATATACATGTATATATATGCATATATATATATATATATACACAAATATATATATATACATATATTTTATATACATACATATATATATACACCAGTGTATATCTGATGCATACTGGTGAAACATACACATCCTCAGAGATCGGAAACTTGCAAACATCAAACACGTGTGGAAGTCACACTAGGCATCCTACGAGGCATAGATTCCATCAGCAGTGGTGCGAGCTGTTCCCAAGCTTTGGATGAGAGCCTCACAGAATGCGACGGGATTTGATCTGAGGTAAACCGACCAATTCAAGCAGAGCCTCTTGATGCTGAATTCCCTTGTCAATCAACTTGGAGGCCGCAGTGCGAGCTTTGGTGGCCAGATGTTGGATCCTTGCACTTGCAACATATAGATGGTGGGCAAAAATAAATATATATATGTGGTGGTGCCATCATGGAATGAAAGAACCTGCGATAAACAATGCGAACCGTAATATAGAAAAGGATCTTCTTCATGCTCGAATCAAACTCCTTTTGCTTTTTTTGTTCTTCAGTGCATTCTTTCGGTGGTTTGGTAGTCTTTCGTTTCTTTGGCACGCCCTCAACATTACCATCTTCGATCGCAAGCTGTTGCATCATAGGGTCCCTGGTTTGCATGGCCGCTTTGTTGGTCAAAACAGTAGCCAAGCTGTCACGAATTGCCTTGTTGTTGCTGACTTTTGCTGAACCCCTCAAAGCATGACCCGTTTCTGTCTCAGTACCAGTTGTGTCTTCTATGCACGAAAACACACGGTAGATTCTTTTCCTTGGGTTCTGTGGGTCCTGGCAGGTGGACAGATGAGCTGCAATTTGGAAACCATTCGCACGATGCTCTGCTGAATGAACCTTCGGCTGCAGGGACAGTCCTGCGGGTGAGGTTTTCCCTTCTGGCCTCAATTTTGGTTTGCTAATGTTGCTAGTGCTTTTCTATATTTTGCATCGCAAGCAGTTGAAAATTGGACATGTGATCTGTTTTCAGTCATAAGATCCATACAGCTTACAACTTTATCTTGAAGCCACTGTGGGTCGTAAGTGGCTTCAAGCTCGTCCAGCGGCTTCTCGATGAACTTGGTCTTGTTCTTCTTGTTTGATGCCCTTAGCTGTAAAAAAATGAGACGAACAAAGTGGAACAAATGTTTCATCAATGATGTTTTCAACTTGGTAAAAGTTGCTTTCCAAGTAGAAAGAGCATCAAAACAAATCTAAGACATCGGCTCCATGTGCCATGCGTCCACACTCACATTGGTTAGGTTCTCGTTGAGCATAAAAGCCTTGAGGAACTCAAACCTCAATATACAAACTCAAAAGGTATATGTGATGCCCATAGGGTTAACTCAAAAAGTATGAGGACCAGACTTTTCCAAGTCTGTGGTGGCACATTCCCATTTTGCCAGCACTCCAGGTGGAAGAGTGTCGGCCTTCTTCAACCTTCTCCCCAAAGCTCCGAACTGCCTCTTGCGTTCAGCGTGGGACATCTGGGAAGGGTGTGTCAAGGTACTTATAGCCTCTCGTTGCTCCTCTGACAGAACTTTCACTCGTTTGGTCCTGGAGCCACCTGTTCCATTATCATCCTGTAAGATTCCGTCCAGACTGACGGCTGACAGTGGGCGACGAAGAATGGGTTTTGGCCTAGGCAAGAATTTTTCAAATGAGACAAGCAGTCTATTTGGTTGGTGGGCAAATGTTTCAAACACAAAGACAATTCTCAACTAAAAAAGCTGAGTGAAGAACGCGGCTTCCTTCTCCGCTGACCCTGGAAGAGGTATTTGATTTCATTGAAAAGGGTAAATGGATTTTGTTTTCTGTAAATGGGTGTGTCTGAAAATAGTGTACCCCTAAACCCAATGGTTAATGATCATTGTCCCTATTAAATGGCTATTTCATTGGGAATATACCCTATTTTCAGACAAACCCAAATGAATGTTTCATAATGCAAGAATTACCCAACTACCCAGCCTTGGGGGCTGTCGGTAAATGTCACATGTCGTCGTGCTGGTGTCTGGACTAACTCTTCTTCATCCTTGCCTTTCCCAGATCCTTTGCTGACATCGCCCTTGCCATCCTTGCCTCCTCCTTTACCGGTTCCTGTGCTGACATCACCCTTGCCATCCTTGCCTCCTCCTTTCCCGGTTCCTTTGCTGACATCACCCTTGCCATCCTTGCCGTCTCCTTTCCCGGTTCCCTTGGTGACATCACCCTTGCCATCCTTGCCTTCTCCTTTCCCAGTTCCTTTGCTGACATCACCCTTGCCATCCTTGCCTTCTCCTTTACCGGTTCCTTTGCTGACATCACCCTTGCCATCCTTGCCTTTCCCGGTTCCTTTGCTGACATCACCCTTACCATCCTTGCCTTCTCCTTTCCCGGTTCCTTTCCTGACATCACCCTTGCCATCCTTGCCTTCTCCTTTACCTGTTCCCTTGGTGACATCACCCTTGCCATCCTTGCCTTTCCCGGTTCCTTTGCTGACATCACCCTTGCCATCCTTGCCTTCTCCTTTCCCGGTTCCTTTCCTGACATCACCCGTGCCATCCTTGCCTCCTCCTTTCCCGGTTCCCTTGGTGACATCACCCTTGCCATCCTTGCCTTCTCCTTTACCGGTTCCTTTGCTGACATCACCCTTGCCATCCTTGCCATCCTTGCCTTCTCCTTTCCCAGTTCCTTTGCTGACATCACCCTTACCATCCTTGCCTTCTCCTTTCCCGGTTCCCTTGGTGACACCACCCTTGCCATCCTTGCCTTTACCCATTCCCTTGGTGACATCACCCTTGCCATCCTTGCCTTCTCCTTTCCCGGTTCCTTTGCTGACATCACCCTTGCCATCCTTGCCTTCTCCTTTCCCGGTTCCTTTGCTGACATCACCCTTGCCATCCTTGCCTTCTCCTTTCCGGGTTCCCTTGGTGACACCACCCTTGCCATCCTTGCCTCCTCCTTTCCCGGTTCCTTTGCTGACATCACCCTTGCCATCCTTGCCTTCTCCTTTCCCGGTTCCCTTGGTGACACCACCCTTGCCATCCTTGCCTTCTCCTTTCCCAGTTCCCTTGCTGACATCACCCTTGCCATCCTTGCTTTGCTGTCTCCCGTCCACCATTTCCATGGCGTAGAAGCTAAGTGTGGCAATATATTGCCGTATCCCCAAGATGGGAAAAGTGGAGACCCTGGGCTACCCCCCTGTCACGTTTCGTCACGTTTTTAAGGCTCATTTGGGCAAATTAAGCTAGCAGTGTCACGTCTGGTCACGTTTGGTCACGTTTGGATTTTTTCGTTGGAAACTTGAAAAAAACAAGCTGGGTGCTGTCTGATTTGTGCTGTGTCACGTTTTGTCACGTTTGGTCACGTTTCTGCTTTGAGATTCAACTGGAAATCATATGGTGGAACCATATGTATATATATATAATTATACATATATATATATATATATATATTTCTTTGTGTGTATATACATATGTATTTCTATATATATATATATATAGTGTGTGTGAGTGTGAACTGCTGGCTGGGCGACCTCAATTAACATGTTTTTCATTTGGGCCTCAAATCCAAGAAACGGCTGGAATCAATTTATGAACATGTGGGTGCACCCTTGATTGGATCGGTGTAGATGACCAGTTCCCATGTCTTTTGACACTCACATGCCTAGAGCTGCCAAGAAGAAGTTCAAACATGAGAAAGGTGGGTGAGTCTCCAATTGGACCATTTTAGAGCATTTCAATCTCCAAATTTGAAACGCGCTATTGTAACTTAAGGGTCCTAAATTGAAAGTATTCTCAGCACCCCCCGATATGGTTGAAGAACTTCCGCAACTTTTCTTCCCCACAAATTACCCCGGTTGGGGAAAGCCCCAGTGGCAGGTTTAGGAATGTGTTAACACATCTTCCAAGCCACTGTCGGAATCTAATTCCGAGTCATCGTGAAACTGCAGCCCCTCATCCAAGGATGGACGCGACGGAACTTGGATGTCCCGAAGATACTCGCTCATCAAAGATCCGACCTGTGCAGAGGACAGGATGGCAACAGTAGAATTCCCAAGTGAATATGAAATATGTTCTTCACATAAATGTGATATTCTATCATTAATATTTAGAGTCATATCGGATGGGATGGATTTAAACAAATACACTGCAAATAGATTCATATGTATGTGTTCCCCCTTACGCTGCGTGCTTGTATGTGTCAAAAGAAACGAACCTTCCAGTGTAAACCAGTTTCTGACAGGGGGAGCAAGATTCAGTGATGCCTGTAAGTAGGGCCCCAACTTGAAGTCCAAGTTGTGCTGGATAGACTTGTGTTTGTTTAAGGTCTTTTCCTCCAACCTCATTGGGGGCATGAAATGGCAGGTGGTTTTCGGCTAGGCACAAGGAAATCCTGAGGGCACATTGTTGCCAAACATCAAACATCAAGTGGTAAGACTCAGGCAATTTTTCGTTTTCCAGTACGTTTGCAAACGTAGGAGCGTGCAACTTCTAACTTCAAAAAAGACTTGATGCGTCGCAGTTCGTTTCTTCTCCTTGAAGACAACGTCCGGCCCAACTTGCCAATCCATGGAGCCGTCCCCACCAACGTAACCTCAGCTACTTGTCGGACATGCAAGTTAACGCGCATGGTGGACAGCAGCATGCATGCAAACGCCTTCGCATTAGTTGCAAGTTGTACAGTGGATCCGAAGGGCAAGGAACTGGTTTGGCTGTCAAAGCTCCAAAAGCCCCGAGTGGCACATGGACCCACTTGGCCCGATAGTTCTTGATCAGTTTCTTAGCTGTTAATGCTGGAAATTGGCAACACAAATCACAAACAGCTTCATGCAGCCATGGCTTGCAACTTCTTGATGTAAGCACGAATTGCTTTCACACCCGCTTGAGAACCAACATATATAATATATACCGAGTGTCGCGGATACACTTGTACCGAAACAAGAGGGAAGAAGTCGGATTTTCAATTACCCATCGAACCCCCTTCGCCTCCAAGTAGACAATCCTCGGAGACATGTTTTAGAAACGGAGCGAAACTAGTAACAAGTACCCTGACCTTTGGCCTCTGTGTTGTAAGCTCCATTCTGGAAAAGCAGCCCAGAAAAGTCCAATCCCAAACATTCCCAAACTCATGTCAACAATGGCTAGCAAGCGACAAGTAGGCAATTCGTCGTGCGAGGCGATTGGCCCTTGCAACGCTCAGGTAATCGGTGTTTCCTGCATGGGCGCAAACACCCGGGCAATATGTATCTAACGGTATATGTACAAGCTGCACCCCCCAAAAACACAAATCACATAAGGGAAAAACATCGGTTTTGGGGGCGGAGTTGGTGATGTCTATCTTTTTGACTGACGAAAGTAAAACACTTTCCATGGGCCCGAAGCCGCAGTCCAGCAGCTCTGAACCAACTCCGGTGAGAACTCCCTCGACTCCTAAGATAAGCAAGTTGAGGAAGAACCTAAACTTGAAAGTATTTCCTGCAACTGCTTGCAGGCTAGAGACATGTATACCCATGTAGCACATGGGATTGCGATCCAGCAGACTGCCCCTGGTACTAGCTGTCGCGCCTGGGCTCATGAATGCGTCCACAGACGGCTCAAAGCGTAGTTGGTTGTAAGAGGAAACATTGCCGGCAACCCTATAGGCCCCCGACAAATTGAAAGAGGGTCATGAAGCCCATTGAAGATAAAACATCCATGCTCTCATGATATGCCACCTCAGGAATCAGATCGCTTTCTGAAAAGTAAAAGCAAACTGCTCAAGGGTTTCAACACTGTGACGAAACCAGTAGCGTGTGTAAGTAGTATTGTCAACAAAAACGAGTCTAGCCGCGTCCACCGCCGCGCTCCGGATGCCAAAATGCAAACATCCACTATGGAGCATTGCAGCACCTGCGCAGCAATCGAATCCACGATGATGTCATGAATTTGAAAGGGCCCCTACATCATATATGAGATATATATATATATATGTAAAGTTAATATGTATGTCTATGTATATATATATATATAACTATTTCAATAAGCATATATATATATGTATATATATATATGTATATATATATATATATTTATATCCCATCCAGAATCGACATAAAAAAATAAATAAGTATATATATATATACAGATATTTAAATCGTTCTGAATAGCACCTTTTGTGGAGCATTATCCTATAGTTATTAGTTCTGCAAGTTGTTTTTTACTCAAACATGTTGTTGTAACATGTCCTCTATTTCAACGGTCCTACAGATCTTACCATTGCAAGGGACATGTGAGAAAAAACACCAGCCTGAAAAGATTTCTGCAAATTGCAGTGAAGCGTCAGGCTGCACATCCCCGAAGCCTCATTTCTGAAGGCATCCAAAATGAAAAGATTCGGGATCCATCATGTTGAGACATTCCCATATACTTGATTGCAGTTTAATGATGAACAAGACTTTAGTCAAGCAGCTAGCCAGAAGGCACGTGACAACGAAGGCGAGGTTGGAGTATTTCATTGCTCGGGCCCCCAAAAGCTTTTAGATTGAAAGGTGTCCTCATATGATATCAACATAGGTAGTATTTCCCCATCTTGATACTTTGCTGTGATGGCATTTGAACTTCTCATCTTGATACTTGGTTGAAACTGTACTCCCCAAATTGAGTTTCTTGATAAATTTGAATTCCCTGCCTTGAAACTTCTTTGAGATGAAATCTGATGTCCCCATCTTGCTCATTATGAAGGTGGTGCGAAGGAAAGACCAGTCATGAAAAAGCTTGCAAAAACAATCCGATGCTCATGAGGAATGCCGATTTGCGCACGATGCAGCGGATGCCTGAAGACGGAGGCAGGGCATCTCGATTCTTTTCAGATCACTTGTCAAATGTTGGCTGAGATGAAGCTGGAATGTTCAACAGCTTCGCAACCCCGGAAAGAAAACCATGTGACATATATGCTGCCCAAAATTCCATTTGAAATTTGAAAATTGATGAGCAGCAACCCTTTTTGGCTGACTGTGCCATGTTCTAACTTGTATGTCTTTCAGCATTGGACATGGGCAACACATATCACGGCAAACCCCTAGAAACGCTTTGCGTCCTTCTTTAAAAAGTACTTTCGCCTTTTGGCCTCGCCCTCCCCCATCTTCTCGACCAAGTCGTTGAAAACCACAGACTCCCTCCACCTGAGAGAATCATAATATCAAACAAACCGTGGTATGACTGTGCACAAAATGGACAATGTTGAATTAAAGCAAGTTGCATCTTCTCTTTGGCCCTGTGGTTGTAGTGCTGCAACCTCATAAGGGACTTCCATTAAATTGTAACTAGGCACAATGGACCTGACTTTAAAAGGGCGTTTGCAATGGCAATGGTCTAGGCAATATAAAGAAATGTTCAATCGAGTAGCCACTCCTGGGCCATGAATTCGTCCTTCTTCCTGCTATATTCAGTGCGCGGGACCTGTGACGCCTCCACTAGTTCTTTGTCTGTCTTGTGCTTCTTACCTTTTGCCTCAGCTGCCTTTTCGGACTTCGCCTTTGCCTTTGCCTTTGCCGCCTTTGCTTTAGGAAGCTTGGCCGCTTGTCTGGCCTCTGCAGTGAGCAAACGTTGAGCGTGAGGATTGATAGGAGTATGTGTTCTATTCAAACATTTGTCCACCACGGCCGCTGACAAGTGTGTGCTTCTGGTTTCCGTACACTCTGGGAGCTCAATCAAGTAGGGAGCCTTAGGTACATTCCAATGCTCAAAATATGCTATAGGCAATAGGTTTACATATATAATGTTATGTTTATATATGTGTAAAAGACATATCTGTATATATTGGCGGGTTTTCGCGGGGATCACACTGTGATGATCGCATTTCCACAGAACACTCAAGAATCCTCAAAACCAAGTCACAGGACGTCCTGAAGATCGAGCATCTCCCGGAATCTCTCCAGCCTCCACCTTGTCCGCCTTGTCCGCCTTGTCCGCCGGGATCGCCTTGTCAGATGTCGGGGTATACAAGTTCCTGAGCACAGCTGGGACAAAACTGCACAAACCATGGGTGTTTCTTAAGATATGCCTGAAAATTGGGCGACGTGTGGCTTCAAATAGCAATTGAACATTTAAACAGGCTTGTAAACCGTATGTATATATATATATTATAATATGTATATATATGGCTGGTATCCCAATTTTCACACATACCAACGCTGGGATGTTCATGCTTGAACTTGAAGATCCAAAGAACAAAGGCCCCCACTCATGGCACAGCCACCAATCAATATCTTCATAGTCATAGACGCCCCACTTTGATGCCAGCTCTTGGATGTACCGGATGGACTGGGCAATGTTTTCGGGGATGGAGTCAGGAAGTTCTTTGGGGGCTTCCGACAAAGCAAAATCCACGAGCTCATGTAGTTCCATGCCAGCTACATCCAGTTCTGGATTCTCCTGGCCAAAAAAGGCCATGAAAGTAGAACGCCCTGATTTTGTAATTGGACCCCACTTGATGTCATGGTTTGTGGACCCACCAGTAGAGTACCAAGCGTGGTATGCATGTTTTCCAACTTTGGGCTCCTGATCCATCCTCTTAAGATGTGCTGCCCTTCTCAATTTTTTTTCCTTGTTGATTTCATGGTACAGTGCAACTGCCTTTGCATCTTTGGGGGCTACACGTGCGATCTTCTCTTCCATCTCCTCCTCCGGGCTCTCCCACACACTACCTGCGCTTGTGACTGACTGACTGCTGTTCCAGTCCTCATAGTACTTTTCGATTCTCTGTGGAGTAGTCGAAGATGGGGGATTGTCACCTGATTTCCCGTGGCTGGAGGGCATCTGAGGTTCCTTGGGCATCGGGGGCTGCGCATGTTCTCCACTATTTTTCAGGGCTTCTGTCAACTGACTGCCTGCTTTCCCTTGGAGAAAGCGGTACACCTTAAGAGCCATGTCAGGGTCACAGGGAAGGTCTGGGTCCTGCAACATTGTCAGCACAAAGGAGTCATCATCCTTTGGGATGGGTGAAGCATTGTCAGCGCAAGGGGCAGTGGTACCACCGGATGCTACTGGTGGCATTGCCACTGGAACATCTTCTTTTGCCATTGGAACTTCTTGATCACAGTAGGAAACTTTTTCAGGGGAATCATCACTGATATCAACAGTAGGGCGTGCAGGTTCTGCGCACCATTCTTTGTTCCCCTCTTCCCATTCTTCGTCCCAGTCGGGCACCAACCCTGTATCCAAATTCTCCATCTCGTAGCGTTCCCACTCTCCCCGCGTCAACAGCAGGTTGGAGGCAGAACTTTCGACCTTAATATGGAGGATGTAGGACATATATCGATTGTGTATATATTCACATATGAAGCCACTAAAGAGGTTAAAATTTGTGAGGACAGGCAGTGTAAATGCGGTTTTAACTGCAGCATATATACATGTATATCATTCAAGAGGCCCTGGCGGGTTGAGAATCCTCAACATAATCCTCTTTGATCTTGGTTTCCATGGCACCTTCTGTTCCCTCAGCTTCCTGGGGTCGTTTTTTAAACAAGAAATAGGAAATAAAATGAAACTGCATGTGATCTTTGTTTGTGGCATATATGTAACAAACCCCGTCCTTGCAGGCTGGCGCTGCATCAAAGATCTCCTGCGAATCCACTGCAACCTCGGGCGGCATCAATCAATGTGGCACTGCGAAACTTGAGCAGCATAGGATATGGTGTAGCTTGGTCAGGATCGATGGGGCAACCAACGGATTTTTGTGTGTATATATGAAAATAATGGTGGGTAAGGGATTGTTGTAACATGTTCTGCAACTAAAGTCACAGCTTAAACGGATGCCAAGAAACATCCATTTTCGGCTGCTCCTGTAGGTCATCACCACGATTCCTGAGCCCCAACCCAAAGATTTTTGCGAGCTGGTTGATCCCTTCACCCAACAGTTGGGAAACATATTTTACTGCATGCCGTTTTGATTTGAATTTGTTGTGAAACCACGTGTTCAAAAAAAAAGGAGTTCGGAATCGTTTGAAAATTTGACATAGCTCACGGATTTAAAGCATCACCAAAAGTGCCCCAAGGTCTAACATGATGTGAAGTTAGCCTTTTCAAATTGCAATCAAAGCCAAGAATCCACGCTGACGTCGGGTCATTGGATTCTGGCCATTCTTCCCATGCACCAGTTTTCTCCTGAGTGCAGAAGTGTTGGCAAAAACGAAATCAAAACTCGAAGTTTGCAAAAAGGGTCAGAGATAATGGGTTGACCTTGAAAAATCCATCATGACAGAAAGATATATCCAGAAAAAATGTAACCCGACGAGAACCCCCACTGTATAGCAATGTTTACTTATATATTTTGTATATATATAAAATATATATATCATATTGATATTTATGTACTATATATATATACATGTAATATTTATATATATATTGAATATATATTATATAGAATATTTAAACATTTATACAACATATAACATATATTAATATATATATATATATTATATATATATTGATATTTAATATCAACAGATACCTGACCTTCGCACACATGGTTATATGTGGAACTGATCGATGGATGATGAAAAACATGGAAACCAAGGTTCCTCCAGATCTGGAGCTGGGGCAGCTGCAGCATCAGATCCAGTGCATTTCGGATGAAGAGCCCCATCCTGCAATTGAGAGCGGGTCAAGCCATGTAAGGGTTGGAGCATGCAAGAATGAGTTCTTAACATGTTTCTAGTGACGTGTTGAAGATTTGATGGGCCTCTTTTGCAGTTTGGACTTTGTTTGAATCCTGCAAACTTGCGTGAACCATGGAGAACATGAGAACCATTAGCCAAAGTTACCCGGACCCTACAATAAGACAACAACAGTAGATCATCAACATTTTGCTGAAATTAACATTTTACCTTTTTGATCTGTTTGGAAACGGCAGTCCTGTTCAAGGTCCCATTCCAGCGTTTGCATGTCGTCCATAGGGCCGGGGCCGGGTCCCTTTACGCTTTTGTGCAACCCACGTTCGTTGCGGGTAGCCTTCTTGCACAGTGTTTGAACCAAATGGGCCTGCTCTTTGACCCAAGTGCCCCAGTCAAACCCAGGTAACATCGGAACCTCCAAGCTATGATCAGCAAACATTTTTTCCAAAGCATGCTTGACCACAGCCTTACTCCAGAAACGAAACTTGTTTGATTGGTCCACATCATCATCAGTTTCATTTTGTCTAGCTTCAAGTACTGTACTGATTGCTGATCTGGTGGTTTTTGTTCTCAAAGTATTTGATCTCAGAAGTTTGCCTGTTTTGGCAAGACGTTCCCCCTCATCCTCCTGAATGAAAGCTTCAAACAGTTTTTGGGACAGGGCTTCAACCCGGGACGCATGTTGCAAAGCAAATTTCGACACCATGGGAGCGAAAGAATTTTGAGCCAAGGACTGGCGGCCGCAGCACTTGCCACTGCACCATGTGAAAAAAAAAAAGCGAGTTGGGGATCAAACAGCTTGTTGCGTTGCGTTTTTTGTGTGCTTAAATTTCCCCGGAAAATGACTGGGTTTGTGTGTCATCAAAATTTATGTGCCACAGATGTGAATTAATTCGATATGAAAATACTTACCTCTAAACCTCATGCACGTATATCCCCTACTTTACCCATATATGATAATCTATATACGCACCACACAAATAATATCAAACATAAAAGGCTGTAGAAGGAGTGTGGCAGGCACAGCACTTCTTTTTTCCGAAGGCAAGGGGCTGTAAGCCCCTTATAGTCTGGTTGAATGAATTGGGCACATATGAGCACCTTGGAGCACCTAAATGCATTATGTGCAGGGCTAAGTTCGTGCAAAACATAGCATTGGGCACATACATGAGCACCTTTGAGCACTAAAATGCATTGTGTGCAGGGCTAAGTTCGTGCAAAACATAGCATTGGCCTTTAAAAAGCACACATTGCCCAAGTTCTTGCAGGAAGAGCAAAAATTAAGATAACAATTGGGTCAGTAAGAGACATTCCGAAAATAAGCAGCACTGAGACCTTCTTGGTATGCTCTATCGGCTGTGGGGGTCGTACCATGCCAGACGTGCCATTCGCTTTCTTGACCCATTCTTGCCTGATACTCTGTATGGAAGTCGAATGGCCCGGTTTGCTGGCCAGGTTTGGAGTCAATTGTTATGGGCAGTTGAGGATGCCACGGCCAACAACGTTGCTTTGTCGGGCCTCATTGCTGATCTGCAGAAGGCGTTCAATCACATTCCACGACTGGTGGTTTTTGAAGCTGCTGCCTTGTTGGGCATTCCAATGAATGTTCTTACTGCATGGGCTGGGGCATTGTCTTGTCTGGGTCGGCGTTTTCAGATAGGTTCCAACTTGTCTCGTCCGGTTTATAGTGTTACAGGAATGCCTGAAGGTGATGGACTCTCTTGCCTTGGGATGCTGATTGTTGACATTTTGTTTCATCAGTGGCATCGGCATTTCTTTCCCCTGTGTGAACCGGTGTCATACGTTGATGATTGGACCATCCTCACCACTGCTCCTGACAGGATGCTAGAGGTTTTTGCATGTTTGCAGCAATTTACCGATGCTATGGATCTCCTTCTTGATTCCAGGAAAACCTTTGCATGGTCCATTAGCCCGCCTGGACGCAAAGCCTTGGTTGCACAGGGTTTCAAAGTTGAGACGAGCTGCAGGGTTTTGGGAGCTCATGTGCAGACGACCCGGAAACACACCAATTCTACCCAAATGGCTAGGGTTCAGTCTCTGCAGGCTATCTGGCCCCGGCTCCGATTGGCTTCGGCCCCCTATGAACTGAAATTGAGGGCCTGGCCAAAGGGCCTACATGCGATTGCTGCTACAACAGTGTCGTTGCAGACGTTTTCTACCTTGAGGGCCGGTGCAATGAAGGGGCTGAATTCTGATGGTGCTGGCAGCAACTCCATGCTTCATTTGGGGTTGGTGGAGAAGCCTGTTACAGACCCCCAGTTTTGGGCAATTTTACAAACCTTCCGTTTAGTTCGCGACTGTGGCATTCCAGAAGTGGTTCAGCAGGCAGTGGGTGCCATGACTTTTGGGGCCACCAATTATGCTGCTAATGGCATTTCGGCCACGCTGTTGACTCGCATGCAGACGCTGGGATGGCACATTGATTCACAATCGCACATTGTGGATGACTTTGGTAGGTTCTCACTGTTTGCTATCTGCATTGAGGAGCTCCAGTGGCGAATGGAGTGGGCGTGGTTAAAGGTTGTTTCTGCCAATGTTGCACATCGGCCCGCTTTGGGTGACCTTGCAGTGGTTGACCCGGTCCGGACCCGCCAATGGCTGTCCAAGTTGTCACGTGATGACCGTGCTGCCTTTCGCAAGTTGTTGAATGGTGCTCATGTCACGCAGGATGGAAAGCTTTACTGTCAAGAGGTGGCTACGGATGTCTGCTTGTATTGCCAATGCTCAGATTCCATGTTTCATCGATTCTGGGGTTGCCAATGTTTCGCTGACTGCCGGTTGGGAGTTTCGGACGCGCTCTGGAGCTTCATTCCTGACCTTCCTGAGTGTGTTACATGTTACGGCTGGGCTCTGCGGCCTACGTCCCACCATGAGTGGTATTCATACCTTGCTGCCATCCCAGCAAGCATTGTTCCTACCATGCCATGGCCTGAGTGTGATGAAGTGCATGTCTTCACGGATGGGTCTTGTTGTAACCCTGGTTATCCTGACTTAAGGTTTGCTGCCTATGCAGTCGTCTTGGCTGACCCGTCGTTTCTGCGCCCTGCCATTGTTTTGGATAGTGGAATCTTGCCTGGCCTCCGGCAAACCTCCGTCCGGGCTGAGTTGTTTGCTGTTATGCGGGCTGTGCGATTTGCTGCCTGTAGAGGCCTGAGGTTGATGATCTGGTCTGACTGCCAAGCCGTGGTTCGTAGATTGCGACGCATTCTCCTTGGTGCGCCTGTCAGGATTAACTCGCCAAATGCTGATTTGTGGATGCATATTGCTGCAGATGTTTCTCATGGGTGTTCGGTGCAGATTACAAAGGTTGCAGCCCATCAGAACGTATGTGCTGCTCTCTCACCTCTGGAAGAGTGGGCCTTCCTTCATAATCAATTTGCAGATCATGCTGCCGCAAGGGCAAACGATGCACGTGATGCAGTGTTTTGGGAGTTACTTGCTCGTCATGCGAATGCTTGCAGGCAGGTTGATGAATGGAACTCCATGATTCACAATGTTCAACTTCAGGTCAGTCGTAAAGTGCTGCGTGGTGTACATCATGAAGCGGAATGTGAACCAGAAGTTGCTGAAGCTCCAAAGCCTCCAGACTGGAAAGGGCTTCCGGCATCCCCAGTGCTTCCATCGGGAGCGGTGCGATGGTATGGGCAGTCGGTTGTGACCAGGATAGTTGCTTGGCTGTGGAATGCAGTTTCTGTGGAGAGAGGTCCGGTCGTGTGGGTCTCCAATGCTCAGCTATATGTGGACTACGTACGTCAGACTGGCCATGCTGGTCCCATTAAGAAGGATGGCTGGAAAGACAGTGAGGATTGTCCCTTGCATGCTCTGTTGCAGGTTGGCTTTAAAGAGAGAACCCGTTGGTTTGGAAAAGTCTTGCGGGAAATACTCCGACATGCGGATATCCCTGTTATGGCTAGCTATTGTCGCCCGCAAAGCCATATGATCTGTATGTTTGCCAGCTGCTTGGCGCTGCCGTGGTGTCCCTTGCGTCTCCTGGAGGTTGATCGATGGTTTCAGAAGTTCAGTTTCACCCCATTTCGACGGCAGTCCCGGAAGCTAGACCGGCTGCCTGTCCCACAGGCCTTGTCGCCACACTGACCAAAGCGTCGACACAGTTAAAGCACTGTCTTCTCACCCCAAGACAGTGCGCCATCCAAAGCGGTACAAAGTGGTGGTTTGGAACATGGCTTTTATTTTCCCCAATAGTTGGGATGATGATCCAGTCTGACTTTCATATTTTTCAGGGGGGTTGAAACCACCAATTAGATGAACATATATGAACATGCAAATAGTTCCCCCAAGAAATCACCATCTCCAATATGCGTGTTTATCCAAAAAATGGGCTAGTTGGGATGATTCAATTGATAAATCACGATAAAACGTACCAATCCTGACTTGTTTGTTGGCTATGTAAAGACATGGCGGCGGTTGCTACGTATGAGCGGAAATGTTTTTAGAATGTAAAGTATGTATTACTCAGCAAGAACAAATGAAGTAGTGTATATATTGCTGCAAATGGAGATGCTATGATTTCTAGATTGTTTCTAAGCTTGGCCATGAAATGCACAGCGGGTAACTTCTCTTTTCAAACATGTTTCTCTTTGGAAAAT